CATTTATTGCTCTTGCAAATAAGTTCACTTCCCAGCACCCATGCCAAGACCCACAAATGCTTCTAACTTCAGCTCCAGGCTGTTGTCCTCTGCTGGCACCCTCGTACTCATATGCATACCCCGTGCAATGAATATGTATATATGCTTGGGGTGGATAAAGAGTGTGGTATCTGCAAGAAACCAAGGAACGGGGGAGGAGAGAGGGGGTCTGGGAGGCTGGGGAAATAGAGAGGTGGGTGCTGGAAGCCAGCACTGCCCTGGTGTCACTGGAAATCCCCTCAAGCTGGTTTAGGCGTAAAGGTTTAAAAACAATGACACCAACTCAGAAGGAAACAGGACCGTTTTATTAAAGCTGGAGAGGAAAAAAGGACAACCTGGAGATCTCTAGGAAGGAGATGGGAAGAGACAAAGGTACAGTCTAAGTCCAGAGATAGGTTCATGCACCTATGGGGAAATGGATGGGTAAAGGAGGAAGGGAGGGAGAGACAGACAGACAGACAGAGAGAACACCCACCCGAGAGAGCAAGGTAAACATGGAAGGGAAATGTGAGGCCTTAGCTAGAACTCAGAACAGTAGACAAGCTGGACATGAGGGACCCGTGGGCAACTGCAAGGACCCCCAGACTGCATACACAATAAACGACACCAGCCCTCCAGGGACAGTCTTGCCCCCTCTTTCCCAGCATCTTCAAGTGTACAGCTCTCTTGTCAGTGATTCAGTGGAGTTAACTCCCAGGATAAAGGACAAACACATGTCTTTGGGCCAGTGGTAGGACCCAGATTCTTTTCTTTTGATCAGACATAACAGGATAGACTAAAGAGAATTGAAGGAAGATTTAAAAGGGAAGAAAGAAAGAAAGAAAGAAACAAACAAACAAACAAACAAAGATCCACAAAGTAGCCATGTTTTCCAGGAGGAAATGGCTTTTCCTTAATGTTCCTCCACAAAGCACAGAAGCTTCTTCTTCCCTTTCTGATGCTATTTGTTAAACTCAGGGAGGGACGATTGTGATGCTTCCTCTACCCTTTCTCTGGTCATTTCAAATTCTAAGAAGGGTAACTGTCCCATTGTCCCTTTTCTTAAAATTAGCATGTTCACTGGGAAAACAGGAGGTGTGTCCCAAAGCTGACTGTGAGGGGGAGGGACCATCCTCAGTGACCTCCAGGCTTGCTGATTGTCAGACCACTTAAGGACATCCAGGCTTAACATGCCTGAAATGCTGTGTGTTAGGGTTCTGAAGGTTAGAAATAGGGGCTCCTGTTTAACACTGAATAATCCCATTATTCACTTTCAAAAGTTCAATGGGAGAGCCCTTGGGTTGGGTCCTCAGGAGAAAGGTAGGATAGAGAACATGTGGAGTCAGGACTTGCTGTGAAAATGTAGGTTGGATTATTCAGGTGCATTCAGGTATGGTGAAGCCAACTGGTCAGGAGGACATAGGTGCGACTGAACATTTTGTAAATAGCTATGGTGGCACAGTCCTGTAATCTGACCTCAAATTGGAAACTGTCCTGGGCTAATAATACCAGGCTAGCTTTAGATACATAGCAAGACCCTGCCTCAAATTAAAATGAGCAGAACAGTTGGGGTATCCCATTCCACACCAGGTGTTGCACAGGGAAGCCCCAGGGCTCAGCAGACAGAAGCTGGTGGAGGGAGGAATGCAGGCTAGAGGCCTGCCATGGGAAGCATTAGTCAAGGCAGGGTCAGCAGGTTTAGGATTGGCCAGTTTTGGTCCCTTCAGAGCTGGGCATAAAGTTGTCTCCCAGTCCCTGCCTTAACTGTCAGGGTGGATGAAAGTGGTTTAGAACACCTGAACTTTAAGGAGGGGTTTGCCAGGGCAGGGAAAGATCATTGGGCTGGATCATTTTGTATAAGAAAGGGTCTCCTAGGCTAATCCTAGAGGGGTGACCTCCCCCAAATCAGCAAGCCCCTGGGGGCTCATCCACTCTGGTTCCTTGGGCTTCTTAGGAATACCCCTCTTCCCTGCTGCCACACCTTGGCCAACCAAGCAACAGGCTGGCCAGGGGGTCATGTCCTAGCTACTAGGCCCTCCACCAGGCAGCATTTCATATCCTAGTCTTTTCGTTACTTGTTTTTAGGAAACAGGGTTTCTTTGTGTAGCTTTCACTACTTACTCTGTAGACCAGGCTGGCCTTGCTCAGAGGCTTGCCCCTGCCTCCCAAGTGCTGGAATTAAAGGCATGTGCCATCATGCCTTCTATCCCTGTCTTCTGTGGTGGTTTTGCTGTGGTTATTATTTTGATTTTTTGCTGCTATTTCTCTGTGGATATATGCTGCCACATGGGGGGGGCAATCTAAACTCATTAAGGACTGGCAGTGAAAACAAGCCTCCTGCATCATGCTGTGTATCCATCCTGGCCTAAAGCTCGCTCCACCTCCTTTTCTCCAGTCCATTCTCTATGTAAAGAGGCTTAGTGGTTCATTGGCGGTCTGTCCTGCACACACATATTCCTGGCTTCTAGAAACCATGCTGCACTGGATACACTTGGATGGCTTCCTCAGGCACGGGCTGGAGATTCTGCACAGGAAAAAACACCCCGGTAACTGCTCACATCTGTGGCTATGCATCCATTCTTCCTTGCATAGGAAAGCAGGTCTGCAAGGTTGATGCCTTAGTAGCTGGACCTTTTCTGGAGTGAGAGAGGCATTGTTTCAGCCTAGATATAGAGGGTACCAATGGGTCAAAGAAAGGTCTAGCCTGGTGAACCAAGGAGTTTATTTGGGTTACACAGTGGAGCGTGGGTGAGTCAAAGACTGCTAGGAAGTACCATGGCTACAACTTACAGCTGCAGTCTCCACCTCCCAGTCAGAGCATATTAACAGGTCTTTGTTGGTGAGGGTCTTCTGTGGGTGATCACAGCTACTCAGAATTAGAATAGCCATGGTCAGATCCAACCAGGAGGAAACAGGCATGGGGACAAATTCTTCAAACCCTGGAGTCTGTCTGGGAAGCAGGGGTCAAACTGGGGTCTTAGGTTTCCTATCTGCCTGATGACACTCATGACCCAGAGACAGAGGTGCCTGGAAGTCAGGAAGGTGAGTCAAACCATGACCCTGGACCTTTAGTGTCGTCATCTGAAATTAAGGCAAGGACTCTAGCTGATATCTAAGCATTCCCTCTCACCTCTGCCTTCAAGCTTTCCCTCCACAGAGCCCTGACTCTTATCTGTGAAGTGGAACCCTCACTCCCCACCTTGTGTCTTATTTCTCCTGCCAGTGACAGGAAGGTGTAATGAGATGGCTGGTGGGTGTGGAAGTGCCCAGAAAGTTCTGGCCTCTATCTACCAGGACCAGGAGCAGCATTTGGATGGCTTTGTAATCCCTTGCCAGAATACTAGCAGGCCTCAGGCATACACTAAATGGTCAGATTTTTAGACTGAGGAATCAGAGTGTGAGGTTGTCAGTGATTCTAATGTCCTTCTGGGGATGGCTAGGCAGCACAGCTGGAGACCACAGGGAGAGGTGAGGAGCATGGCTCAGTTCCAGCTGGCTGAGGTCAGGGAGATATGGGGGACCACTCATTTTCTAGAAAAGCCAGTTTTGTTCCTTCTATTATTAATTTTTATTTAACATGTACTTATTTAAGTGGGGGGGGGCTTATGGGTGTCACTGTCCTCATTGTGTAGAAGTCACAGGACAACCTTCTGGAATCCATTCAGGTGGTCGGCCCTGGGGGCAGGCACTCTTACCCCTTGAGCCATCTCACAGGTCCCCAAGGTCGTTCTTAACATCTAGCGTTGATGTTTATTCAGATATTTTCAGGACGTTTGAAGTTGAGCCAAACAGTCCCATGAGCTGGCTTTAGCCACAGAGCCACTATTGTGGAACAGTGTTCTGCCTTGCCTTCTCCCAATACACAGATGAAAACCCTGATTGGGGAACATGGCCAGTGACACAGTCAAGACCAGGTGCCACTAATCACTAATATTTTCCTGTCGCTCACACCCGTGTCTGTCTTGTTCCTTGGTGTCCATTGCATGTGCCTTTTGGTCCCCTTTTCTTGACTCCTTTTCATCCTCGGCTACTCTTGGCTACTCTGTCCCTCCCTTTGTTCCCTAGTCAATGTTCTTTTAGTCAACAGACCAACCAGAGCTGGGTGCAGCCACCAACCTGCGCCAGCCGCGCCTCCTTGCTCGGCCCCCTCCGGGTTTCCGGAAAGCGGGCGGGTCCCCCGGCTCTGCCGTCAGCACCCCTCACTTCGGTCTGCGCCCCCTCCTCGCTGACCTCACGGGCGCCGCATCGCGAGCGCATATAAGCCACAGCCCCTCGGAAGAGCGCGCAGTCAACGTGGGAGAGCCATCGCTGAAGACTCTACCAGTTTGCACTCTATAGCTCAACATCTCCGACTGCTCAGCGGAGTCCCCACTTCACAGGTAATGCCTCCGAACCTGGAACTCTAAACATGTGTTCCCCTTCCCGGGGCGCACTGGCCGGGGCACCAGCAGCGCTGGACGGAAAGAGGTCCACCAGCAATTCCACGCCAGGACGGTCAGACCCATCCCGGAGTTAGAATTAGGATGTGGGCGTCCGATGAGAGTCTTGGTTTAGCCTAGATACACTGAGCATAGGGTTGCACGAGGAGTTTGTGCAGCAAGCCAGAATCTCAGCTCTGGAATAAGGAAGGAAGGAGGAGGTTGTTGGTGGTAGAGGGTTGGGGTTAGAATGTAGATGGAACCTTGGGGACAATTTTGGCTGCGATGGCTTTAGCTTCTCTGGCGGCTGCTGCAACCTTGATGGTTACACGGGGATGAAAATGTCAATCCCAAACGCAGGGCTAACTTCCCTAGCTTTGGAAGACTATAAGGGTTGGCGGGGACGGAGAGATTCCCACAACTCCTGGCTTGGATAGGCACCTTGGCACCCTAGTGGACCAGGAGAGTTGCCAAAGGCTTAGAGGCTCCAGACAAGTGCCAGGTGACCCTGTTCTGGGAAGGAAGGGAGGGTGATCCCAGAGCAGCACGGTGCATTTACCTTTGTTCCCATTGCTCTTGACCCTAGACGCCACGATGCCGGGCCCTTGGCTGCTGCTGTCTCTGGCTTTGATGGTCACCCTAACTGGTATCCCCGAATCCTGCGCCTTGCTGGAGGCAGCCCAGGAGGAGGGTGCAGTGACTCCCGGTCTGGGGAACGTCCAGATGCGGCCAGAGCGTCGATTCTTGCGGAAAGACCTCCAGCGGGTCCGAGGGGATCTGGGTGCAGCCTTAGGTAAATATAGGGGGAGGGGAGCTGTGTGAGGGGTTTGGGGGAGCCACCTGTCATGCTCCTTCCAGACTTAAGTTCAGACTGTCTCATAACCACTTTCTCAACAGGGTGGAGAGTTGACCAGCCCTTGGTACCACAATAATTCTCAGTGCTAGAAATAATTAGAAGACGGACTTTCAATAGTCACAATTTCATGTGGTCCCTATCTGGCAGTTTTAACTACCGTTTACTATGCACTTGTATGTATCACCCTGTCCGTAAGGGCACACTGCTATTTGGTACTGAAGTGAGGTTCAGAGAGCCTCAAGTCACCCAGCAAGGAAGCAGAGAGCTGGGACTGGAAGCCAGAGGCAGTGCCCTTGACCATAAGGGTGGGGGTGTCCATTTAAGGCCTCAGGAAAAGGCAATGGGAGGGAAGAGCTGCTGGAAATGTTAGAAGAGAATTGGAAGCCTGGAGTGGGTCATGGCCTGCAGGCAAGTGGTCCTGATGAAGGGACCAGATTCTCCCACACTAGCTTTTTCTTCTCCAGACTCCTGGATCACAAAGCGCCAACATCCAGGCAAAAGGGAGGAGGAAGAAGAAATTGAAGCTGAAGAGAGGGGGAACTTGGGAGGAGGAGCCTGGAGCCCCCACAAACGACAGCACCCTGGCCGCCGTGCCAACCCTGATAAGTATTCATGGGTAGAAGCAGAGGAGAGCAACTGGGTGCCACCGACAAGGTCACCAGGTATTTTTCTGGAGTCCTGGTACTTAGACCAAGTCAAGCGGCAGCACCCTGGCCGGAGATCTTTTCCCTGGATGGAGTCTGATGTCACCAAGAGGCAGCATCCAGGCCGGAGGTTCATAGATCCCAAATTTCAAAGAAGCTGGGAAGAAAAAGAAGAGGGAGAGGGTGTCCCAATGTCTGAGAAACGCCAGCATCCTGGCAAGAGGGTGTTGGGTCAACCTTGTGGGCCCCAGGGGATTTGTGGCCAAACAGACCTGCTCCAGTTCCTAGGAGACCTGAGCAGGGGCCAGGAGACCCTGGAGAAGCAAAGTCCACAGCTGGAAGCCTGGGACAGGGAGCCTCTCTTCGAGGATTAAGCCCAGAGTCAGTCAGGCTTTAAGTCTAGGATGACTGAAGCCCTGTGTGCTCTACCCATCTCCTTTTCCTCCCTTAGACGTTAAACCCAAGCCCTCTGTACATAGATGGCATCCAATCCCCTTTCTTACCCACTTTAAGGACCCCAAATAGGAAGTGTCCCTGCAAGCAAGAGGTACATATTTCATTCATTGTCTTTGTCCCCAACCTTCTAAGGGACCTCCTCAGAAAGGGTGGAATTGAAAAGTTTTGGTGTTAAAATCTAATTTCCATCTTCTGCCCCATATGGCAAGACTGACCTGGTATAATTTCAGCACACACACACAACAATCCCAAAGCTGGGGCTCCTGAGCAGTTTGGGATATTCAGACATGCTGGGGTGGGGGGGTCACATCTTATATATACCCCTGCTCTTGTTAATTTCAACAATAAAACATATGTTATCTGTTGTTCTGCTTTTCTGTATAGATTGTGGTTTTTCATTGGGGGTTTTGGGGATGGCACCTGGCCACAAACTCTGCTCAGGGGACTGTCCCTAATCTCAGCTAGGTTAATCTGGCAAAGGGTCTGGCTCTGGAGTGTTTGGCTGGGTGTGGTGGGTGAAGATTAGGGGCTGGGACAGACATTGATGTCTGCCTGGTTGGAGGAGAGGGGGACAGGTTACTGTGCCTAAAACTAGGGGACTTCTGTTGTCAGTGCTGGGAGGCAGGCTAGGAAGGGACAAATTGAAGTTACCTGACTGACACCTTATCCATGAGCACTATCCCTGAACAGGGACTTAAATGTTCTAGATGCTATTACTAAGTGAAGTAATTGGCTCCTATGCAACCTTTAACTGGCACCAACTTATTTGTGTGGGTATATGTGGCACTTCCTTTAGCCTGAGACTGCACACACCTTGCTTGGTATAAGCTAATGTTAGAGGGGAGATGCTCTACATTTGGCAACTACATTTCCCAGCCTCCTTTGTGGGTAGAGTCATGTGGTCAATTCTGGCCAATGGGCTATTATAACACTTCGCATCTTGTCTGAATGACTTGTGTAGGACATTCCTCTTAACTCTTCCTACTCTGGTAGCTCAGGCTTCCCGTGTAGTTGCCAAAAGACATGGTAGGATTTGAGATCCTGGTCTCAACTGATGGGAGTGAGACAAATCACTGTGCCAGTCTTAGGTGTGCACGAAACGAACAAACTTAACATAAGTCACTGAGAGTCACTAAAGAGTTAACAGACTTAACAAGTTGCAACAAACAGCCTGCCTTTTCCCACTACACAAAAACCCTTCCCAACTTTTGTTCCCCATCAAAGCCTCCTAGATCAGGGCCTGCCCTGAAGAAGGTATTTGATAAATACTCATCGCATGGAAGTTACAAGCTTCAAGTCACTTCTATTTTAGCTTCCTTATCTGACTTTCCACCAGTGGGGAAACAAGATGAGAGAACAGAAGAGGACAGCGTGGCATGAGAAACACTGGTTCTGGGAACTGAAAAGGAAGGAGACACAGGCTAAACAGAGAGGGCTTCCTGGAGGAAGGAGGAAATCGCTAAGCACAAGTCTAAATAGAGAAAAAGCACCCAAGGCAAAAGGGTAGGGCATTGACAAGGGTCCATGGCAGAGACCTTGTGTTCTGAGGGAGTATGTGAGGTCAGTAGTGTGCAGGAGCCTCTCTCCCCTCTCCCACTCCCTTCCTCCCCTGAGAGAATAAACACTGTGTCTTCTCCTGTCCAACCCTTTCAGGCTCAGTCTGGTTCCCACACAGAAGCTTTGAGCCCCTGGGTCTATAGGATGACTCAGTGGGTGTGCTGTCTAGTTTTGTCAATTTGACACAAGCTAAAAAGAGGAGGCCTTAATTAAGAAAATGCCTCCAAAGGTGAGGCTATTGGCAGGCAAGCCTGTAGAACATTTTCTTAACTAGTGATTGGTAGGGAAGGGTCCATCCCATTGAGTTTGGAGACACCCCTGGACACAAGTGGTTTTGGGTTCTGTAAGAAAGCAAGCTGAACAAGCCAAGAGGAGCAAGCTAGTAAGCAGCACCCCATGGCCTTCATATCAGCCCCTGCCTACTGGTTCCTGTTCTGTTTGATTTTCTGCCTTGACTTCCCACAATGGACTATGAATTAGGTATGTAAACCAAACAAACACTTTTCTCCACAAGTTGCTTTTGATCAAGGTATCTCATCACAGCAATAGTAACACTAATTAGAACACGTTTATGAGGTATTGCTTTGACAGTCCTGACTATGTTGTTTTGGGGAAGATTGTATAAGGACTTCAAGACTTTGGGTTAGAAAAGCCATGAGTGTCGAGAGCTCAGTGAGCTGTTCTTTAGGAGTTTAGGAGATAAGAATGTTGAGAGCAGCCAGGCAGTAATGGTGTAAGTCTTTAATCCCAGAACTATGGGAGGCAGAGGCTGGTAAATCTCTGTGAGTTTGGGGCCAACCTGGTCTGCAGAGGGAGCTCCAGGATAGCCAAAGCTACACAGAGAAACCCTGTCTCAAAACAAACAAAAAGAATGTTGAGAACAATACAGATGATGGAGGTCCGGTTTATGATGTTTCAGAGGAAAGCAAAGAATCTACTGGGTCATTTGAAGAATATGTGGTGTCTGGTCAGCTGTGGCTGAAGAATTAGCAAGAGACCAGAACCATGGAAGCAAAACTTTTGTTTTGCTGGGATAATTATACTGGGCAGGTGGAGCTGAGGAATGGGCAATGATTGAGAGGAGACCAGCCCCATCCAGGTAAAACCTTCTAGGAAGTGTTTCTTGAGAGTCAACACAAGAAGCTGTGTTCTACAGGTGGTCTAGGCTGTACCTTGTACTGGCAACCAAACTTGGTAATGTGTAAGAGTCTCCCAAGTGGTGCCAGTTTTGAAGGTCCGTAAAGGTCATGGAAAGGCTCAGCACTGTGAGAAGCCAGGAGAGACCATTGGCAAAAGTGCTGCCTCATTAGCAATTGAAACCCCAGGATTGAGGGGTCATGAAGAAAAATCTAGGATGAAGAGAGACCAAGAGGGGCTTTTGGTGAAAGTGCAGCCCAGCTGCAGTCTAAGGCCTAAGTATTTTGGAAAAACCCAGTACCATTGGATGACTACCAAGAATAGTAGCAACAGTGGGGTGTAGCCTGCCTAAACTAAGAAGACAAGCTGTAAGTGTGCTGCACAGGGCAGACTCTTGGAGGAGCCCAGAAGATCATGAGTTGATCACCAAATACTGGACACTAAGGTTTGGGGTTTTGTTTGTTTGTTTGTTTGTTTTGAGGCAAGGTTTCCCTGTGTAGCTATGACTATCCTGGAACTTGCTGCTCTTGAACTCAGAAATCCACCTGTCTCTGCCTCCTGCTTGCTGGGATTAAAGAAAGGTATGTGCCACCACTGCCCAGCTGACATTGAGTTATTGACACTTTTGAAGTTTATTTTGCATTGTTCAAATTTTGACTGTGCCCTAGTTCTTCCCTCTTGAAGAAAGTTGGGATTTCTTTTTTGTTTTGTTTTGTTGGTTTTACAGGAGTCCACAGTTGAGAGACTTTAAACTTTTGAAAAAGAGATACTGGTGTTTTACGAAGACTTTGGATGTAAAACCAGAGCTGTCCTGATATGAGGTATGTATGCAGCAGCTCTCTAGTGTACAAACCCCAACTTGAATCTAGAGTTAGTTGCTGATGACAGCTTTCTGTCCAATTTCAGGTCTGAAGTATGTGTGGTTGATGGATTGCTTGACTCTGGTACTAGACATTGAACTCAGTACCCTTCTTCACATACAAGTGCTCTACTACTGAGCTATACCCTGTCCAGCACGGTATTTTAAAAGTGCTCTCATGTTAGAGCACATATCCGTACTTCCTTTTTTATAGCCAATGGTACTCTCTTGTGCTGATGGGCACTCTCTCATAAAAACCTAAGTATGTTAGGGTTGAAGATATAGCTCCATGGTAGAGCACTATCTGGCTTGCATGAAGCTCCATTTCCAGCACTATGCAGCCATAGTGTGAAGTGGTGGATTCCCATGGTCTCAGCTTGTGGGAGGGGGGTCATAGGAAGCTCCCTGAAGACCAGGAATTTGGGGACAGCCTGAGCAGCAACAGTCTTGTAAAAAGATAGAAGCAAAAACAAAACACCAAACTGAATATATGAAGTGTGTGTGTGTGTGTGTGTGTGTGTGTGTGTGTGTGTGTGTGTACCCACCCCTTTCTTGAACCCATTTTAAGATTACATTACTTTGTTTTTTTGGTGGGTTTTTTTTTTTTTACTGTTTTTTTTAAAGTCTCACTAAGCTGCCCAAGAAGATCTGTGTGCATTTTTCCTGCATGTATGTCTGTATACCATGTGCTTGCCTGCTTTCCACAGAAGTTAGAAGGGGCATCAGGTCCTCTGGGACTTGTGGCTGCTGGAAACCAAACCTAGGTCCTCTGCAAGAGCAGCAACTACTCTTAACTGCAGAGTTCTCTTTTCTAGCCTCAGTGACTTTTTAAATGGCTTTCCTAAGTGGTACAGTCACTGGCTTGTCAGTCATGTAATGTGAATACAGTAATGGCCTTTAGATCTCTCCACTCCCATGATGGCCCCTGAAGTATGGCTCCATCAGTCCAGCTACCTGTGCCACCTTCTTTCCCTTGCTGCCCCTGAAAAACAATGACAAGCACCCAGTTCCTAGGGCAATATTCAAAGCACTCAGCAGACATTAGTCAATCAGCACACATGCCCTGACCGATCAGAATGTCCAGATTCTGACTCTTTGCACCTGTAAGGCTCAGGGATGGGAAGAGGTGGGTGCTGTTAGACTGGGTTCCACTTCCTGTATGCTGGTTACCATGTTTCACTGTGCTGTCCTAATGATTCCTCCTTAGCTGTCACCTTAGCCATCACTTGGCCAGAATGTGACACTGCAGTCCTGAGGTCCTCTCCTTCAAAACAGTTTTCACAGTCTGTAATTGCACCTTCCTGAGACTGGGTGTTCCCAGAACCAGCCCTCAGACAAGGATCTGGACACCGTTTACATATATGGACATCAATCCCAGGAAGCAGTGGTCTGGAATGGGGGGAGGCAGATACAGGGAAGGGAAGGGAAGGGAAGGGAAGGGAAGGGAAGGGAAGGGAAGGGAAGGGAAGGAAAAAGGGGAAGAATCCAAGCTGTACTGGTAAACAGGTTAGAAATGGGATTCCATCTTTTTGGGGACTCTTGGAAGACATAGACATACCTTGGAGTTGTTCAACTTGAAAGGCTGAGGAAACTGGGAATATGTCTACCAGTTTCCTTGAGTCAGAAGCTGAGGGCTCCTCTCTAGTGATACCCTGGCCACAACCAGCTGGCCTATAAAGCTGCTTCAAGAAGGTCCATAGATAGTCAGGGGCTCTCTCTCTCTCTCTCTCTCTCTCTCTCTCTCTCTCACACACACACACACACACACACACTCACACTCACACACTCTCACACACTCACCACCTCAGAGGATACTGAATACCCTCCATTGGGCATACTGGCTTTCTCCTCTGCCCTGTGGCACTAAGAAGCTACAGTGATCCTGGGCCCTGTGCAAGGCTCTTTCTAGCTTCAATTTATACCCTCATAGATCTTGATGATTTAAAATTTAATTGTGTGTGGGGGGGTGCACACCATTGCATGCTTGTAGAGGTCAAAGGGCAATTTTCAGGAGTAGGTTTTCTCATGTGGGGCCTGGGGATAAAACTTGGGTTGTCAGGCTTGGCAGAAAGTGCCTTTACCTGCTGAACCATCTCATAAGCCCCTTTAGATCTTGAATGTGCATCCCAAAGGCTACATATTAAAGATATTGTCCCCACAGTGTTGCTATAGAGATGAGAGAACCTTTAAGAAATTGAGCCCAGTAGCATGTTCTTAGATCATTGAGGATACGCCCTCCACAAGGATTCTGGGAGGCAGGGGCCTCCCTTCTCTCTCATTACTTCTTGGGCTTTGGGATGCTCTGTGCCATAGGGCCAAGAGATCATGAACCAGAGCCTCCAAAACTAAGCAGAACAAACTTTTTGCTCTTACAAATTTATTATCTCAGGCATTTTAATGCCGACTGATACTCCCCCTCCTTTAAAAATGACAAATATTTAGCTCAGATTGGTGATTTTCTTATAAAAGGCACAGCCAAAGGCCAGAGAACTGGCTTGGTGGGTAAAGAAGCTTGTTATGGAGTCTGAGTGTAGATTTGATCCCAGGACCCATATGGTGGAAGGAGAGAATTGACTTCCAAAAGTTGCCCTTTTACCATCATGTGTGCCTTAGCACAAGTGTAATTTTCAAAAAAGCATAAAGGCATAGTCTAGTTCTATAAAACTTCAAGTATACCAAGTGCTTTAAAAAAAAGATTTGTTTTTGTATTACCTACATCTTTATTCTGAGCTTCTGTGAGAAGCCATCAAGCACCTTCATGAGGAGGTAGCCTCTCCCATCCAGTGAAGCCACCATTTCCTCCAATAGGTTCTGTAATTAATTCTTTCTGCAAACCTTGTTTCGATTAATTATTTGCAATCATGGCACTGATTTGCTGAGAGACTCAGTTCCTGCTCTGGGCCTCTTGGGTGGCCTGAGAACACGAAGGGTTTCTTACCTGAAGGATGTCAGCAATTAGCATCGATTTCGACTGCCGGGCACGAGCTGACTGCCCAGGAGAACATCAATTAGTTCACTGGCTAAATCGTGCTCAGAAGCACGGGTTACCAAGGGGACTGTGGTCAGTGCCAGGATTTAAGTGGTGCTTGTCTTCGGGGATCGTCTTTCCTGAATTGCGGCCACGTTCTGGGCCTGGTGATTATCGGCAGACTGATTAGACCTCGTCCTGTATGGAGAGTGACTTCCTAATCACCAGATGCTGAGGAGAAGAGTGTCCAGGCACATGCAGGTACGCCCCGTGTGACGTGCTAGGGGCTGGCGTGGGTCCTACAATGCTGCTTTGAGCCTATGGCCAGGGAGTAGGGGACACAGGGCATACCCGTGACTCTGCTGGGCACTCTTGGGAAGAGTTCAAGGGGCTGGGGGAGGTCCCAGAGGGCATGGAACCCTGGGACCATTCCTGGATGATTGCAGATGCTGTTAGTGGATTCTGGCTTAGGAAGAACACTGTATGGCAGGGTCAGGCACTGGGCTGAAAACAGCCATGTGCTGTGTAAACTGTCATCCCTCCATCCTACAGAATGGAGGTGTGGTTCAGTGGCAGAGCACTTGCCTAACAAGTGTGAGGTTCTGGATCCCATCCTTAGAATTACTAAACAAAGGGGAAAATTAAAATATAAAATATTATAGCAGGTCAATGCTGCTCTTACAGAGGACCCAAATAGATTCCCAGCTCCCGTGTTAAGCTGCTCACAAATGCCTGTAACTCCACTTCCAGCAGGGATCTGATACCTCTTTCTGACCTCTAAGTGCTCTGCACTCATGTACAAGATGCCCCCCTACATATACATAATTAAAATAAGACATCTTTAAAGAATGATTGTATCACCTATCGATGAGAGTGTAGACATGTGGCTATGATGTTCTCACAATAAGTCTTCTAGTGAGGTTTTCCTGGAGATAGTCTCCACACCAATCATGCAGGACTGCAGCTACATCAGTGCTTACTGAGCTCTAGGCACACCACAAAAACCTGAGGCACCCTGGGCTGAGATATAGGTCTGGGTAGTTTCCTCTACAGGGGAACAGCTGCATGGTCTGGGTCTCTTGGTTTACATGAACACAGCAATTCCAGACTTTGTCCAGGACCCTTGAGGCTGCTGCATGTCTTCACTGTCCTTGTTTAGTGGAAGCCAGGTTCCTTTCTATTCAACCAAAGCAATGACAGAAGCCTGACGAAGCTCAAAACAATTCCAGCTTGTGCAAAGTCAGATGTTTTAACAGTTTGCACAAATACATACCAATGTTACTGTCTTAGTTAGGATTTCTATTACTGTGAAGAGGGACTATGACTACATCAACTCTTATAAAAGAAAACATTTAATTGGGGTGGCCTTCTTACAGTTTAGAGGTTTAGTCCATTGTCATGGTGGGACATGGTAGTGTGCAGGAGACACAATACTGGAGAAGCAGCTGACAGTCCTCATCTTTCAGGTAACATGGAGTGGTCTGTATCACTGGGTGTGGCTTGAGCATATATGAGACCTCAAAGCCCACATCCACGGTGACACACTTCCTCCGATAAGACCACATCTACTCCAACGAGGCCACACCTCCTAATAGTGCCCTTTGGGGGCATTTTCTTTCAAACCACCACAGCCACTCTTAGAAAGTTGTTTTCTTTTGAGAAATACAAGTGTCTTCATGGAATATATATATATATATATATATATACATATACATATATATATGTATATATATATATGTATATGTATATATATATATAGTTATAGTTATAGGTCAGTATTTATTTTTAAAGTTTGTTTTTGTTTTATCTGTGTAAGTGTTTGCACATAAATGTATGTACACAACATTTGTGTTTGGTGCCCTTGGAAGTCAGAAAAAGGTGTTGGATCCCCTGGAAATGGAGTTCTGGGTGGTTGAGAGCTGACATGTGAATACTGGGAACTGAATCTAGGTCCTCATAAGCCATTGTTCCCACCCCAGGGTCATGGTTTATCATTGTTGTAAAAGTTAAAACTCTAAGGGCTAGAGAGATAACTTGGGTAAAGACACTTGGTGACAAGCCTGAGTCCAATCCCCAGGACACATATGGTAGAAGAGAGAACTGATTCTTGCAAGTTGTCATCTAACCTCACTATGCCCACTCACAGTGGCACATACGAGCCTCTGCTGGAACACACAATTTTAAAGTTCTAATTTGACTTTTAATATGGGAAAGACCAATATCTATCATCCACATAATGAAATCCTTCAGGCCTTCAATTATTTTGAAGAGTATAACAGTCTTGAGGCCAGAAAGACTGAAAGCTGTGACATCATGTCTTAAGAGCTTGTGTTTGATATCCCCTAGGCTTGTCACTATTCTAAGTATATTGCAGTCTGTCACCTGCCTTGTAATGACATTTTAGTCCATGATGGACTGAATAAGTGACAGTGGCCAGCACAGTCTCAAACAACCCATGTGTGTTTTGTCCAGAGCAAATCACGTTCTCTTGTGCATGATTTAGGATCAAGGTTTCATTGAAGCCCTAACATAAAATTTACATGGTTAATGTCACCAGTAAGAATCTTTGTCAAACAACTGACATAGAAAGGAAATTTTAAAAAAAAAAATGATTAAGAGGGAGAGTCAGTGAGATGACTCAGCTAATAAGGGTGCTTGTCACCAGGCCTGACCCTGTCAAGTTCTGCCTCTGAAATGACAGAAGGAGGAAACCAACTCCCACAATTATCCTCTGATATGCACACTAAATAAGTAAATAAATAAATAAATTTAATAAACATTTTAATGATTAAGAGGTTGGGTATGAACACTATACTTTCAGGGACCATTTCTATAGTTCATTACGAAAGAAGTTTCTCTGACTATATAGATAACTCCAGACCACAAAGACCAGGTGTAGAGTTCCCTCCTGAGCATGAAGCCAGCTCTAGGTGCTGCTTTCCTGCAGCTGCCTGCTGCCATTCAAGGATGATCATTCTTCTCTCTCTTTGGGAGAGTGGGAGGGAGGGGACACAGAAAAAAAAGAAAAGAAAAGAAAAAGAGAGTGATTGGGGATGTAGCTCATTGGAAAATGCTTGCCCAACATGCATGAAGTTCCCAATTCCAGTCCCAGTACCCCAAGATAAGATGGATAAGAACTATGTGAGAGGGGCTGGAGAATTGGCTTGTGATGATATTTTGTTTGTGCCTGAAGATCAGAGGGTGGATGGAGGTAGTCACTAGTTAACCAAAGAGTCTAGGCAATGTTGACACACACCTTTAATCCCAGAACTTGGGAGATGGAGACAGGAAGTGGTCGGAGAGGGGAATATATGGCAAGAGGAGACAGAAGCTCAACCCCTTTTCAGTCTGAGGATTTCCACAGAGGTAAGAATTTTAGTGACTGGCTCCTTTTCTTTCAGCATTTACCCTGATATCTGACTCCAGGTTTTTATTATTAAGACCAATTAGGATTCACTCTACATTGGCTTAGCTGTTAAAAGTAATGACTGTTCTTCCAGAGGTCTTGGGTTCAATTCCCAGCACACACACACACACTCACTCACACACACACACACACACATTGTGACTCACAACTATTTGCAACTCTAGTTACAGAGAGATCTGATACCCCCTTCTTACCTCTGTGGCACTCTATGCATGTGGTCCACAACATACATGAGGAAAACACTCAACATGTAATATAGAATAAAATTTTAAAATAGGGTATCTTTTCTTTATTCTTTTGCAAGTTTCAGACATATGTGTAGTGTGTCTTGATTGAATCCAACTCCCAATAATCACCTTTAGCTCTCCCCAGGCAACCCCAATACACCCTCCTCCTTTCTTCATGTCCTCTCTCTCTCTCTCTCTCTCTCTCTCTCTCTTTGTAACTCACTGAATATAATTGGTGCAGCCTGATAGAGTGTTGGCTGGTCTTGTTGGCTTGATGTTTTGTGGGAGTTTTATAGCTGGTGTGTATATATGAGTGTCACAGCTATGTCATGTCCAGAGGACAGGTCACAGCTCTTCTCCCCAACCTCCAGCCTCCTCTTCTATGATGTTCCCTGACCTTGACAGGGAGAGAGGAGTTGTGACAGTCTGTGACAGGAGTTGACACAGATATTCCACTTAGTGATGAACACTCAACAGCCACTTATTCTCATTATTTTGACCAGTTATGAGGCTCTGCAGTAACTGCTGACCACTGCAGAAAGCTTTTCTGCCCAATGTTGAGGGCGGCACTAATGTATACAAGTCCAGTTAGCAACACTATAGTAGCAGATTCCTCCTAGGGCCTATGATTCCCCAAGCCATGTGTTTTGACCAGGTTTACAGTTCCCAGACATGAATTCTTTACTGTGCAGCAGGTCTCAAATCCAATGCAAATGTAGTTGGCTACTACCCCCATAGCCTTCATGCCATTATTGCACTAGGGGGCATTTCTTGCCTGGCAGGGCAGCATTGTAGCATTCAAGGTCTAGCTCTGGATAAGACCACCACTGATGGCTTTTTGCCCTCAGTGGCCTGCATAGATCCTTCTGGCACTATGAAAGTTAGGTCACTTCCTTCTGGTTCAATTTCTATACGTCCTGCAACCAAAGTGTGTCGTGTCTTCAGCAATTGGGTCTTCCTTGATACTATGTTGAACTTACTTTTGCTCTAGCTGAGTAAAACTATTCAGAATTCACTGTGAATTACACAATGTCTGCATGCATACACATAGTGGGCTGCAACAAGGGAGTCTAAGGTTTTGACATTATGACACACATTGTTATCCTTGAAAACTGTGTGATCCAGTTACCAAAATAAAAAAAATTTAAAAAGAATCTCATGATGTTATTTCTTTATTTGGAGACAGGGCTTCACTATGTAACCCTGGCTGGACTGTAACTTCTTATGTAAACCAGGTTGGCATCAAACTCCCAGATAGCCTCCTGCCTCTACTTCCCAACCATGCTCCTTATCATAATGTTTTAAGCTTCCAGTCATGTTGGGTGGCTCTTTTCTCACACCCTGAGGTATTTTTGCAGCTGGGACCAGCCAGAAGCAAGTAAGTCTGTCTACCCTCAAACCACACCCCACTCCTGACTCCATCACTGGGCTATCTTTAGGGTGCCAGCAGGATAGCAACTTCCTTGCTTTGGTCCCTCCACTTGCAAACTGAGGACAGTAGAACATGTGAAAGATAAATTGAACCAGGCACTAGGACATCAGTTGATTGCCAGATGTGTAATGTTACAGGAACTGTCTGCTCAACATGGTCAATTTGAGTTTAATTTTTGCTGGGCAAGGAGTATAGAATCTCAAAGGAGTATAGAATCAGGTCAAGAGTAATGGTGTGGAGGTCACAGGAGCTGCTGGGGGCTCTGGGCTGGCTGAGGATGCTACAAACAGCAATCACTTGTCTATGGGGCACCTGAGGCAATGCTGCTCTGAGGGTCAGTGTGGCAATGTCCTCCTACACAGTTAATTTCTAGCTTCTTTACTGCTCCATCGAGGCCTGAGTCCTTTTGACCTCCTGTGCTGTCCATAGGCCTCATGCTGTTAACCTTGAGAGTAGAGCCAGTGAGTGCCTCGGGGCACACTGCAGTTATCAAGGAGAAACAGCAGCTCAAGAACAGGTTCTCCCAGGGGCTAGCACTGTGCCACTCTGCACCTGGGCTCCACGTGCCAGACCCAGTTCCTTGCCAAAGACACTAGCATTACCATCCTCTGTTATCAATGGGTCCCTCATTCTCTGGCCCTTCTCATGGCACAATGTAGACAGTGGTCTTGACAGTGAGGAACAATTGAGCTTATACACTGCTCCAAAACCTTGCATACTTGACATGCCAGCCAGCAGGCTCCACTTCTAGTCTGGACTTGGCTTGTCTTTTCTGTAGCCATCCTCACTGGAAGAGACTTGGCAGGTGGGAGGGGATGACCATAATTTTTCTTGGGAAGAAATTCATCCTAAAAGTCAGCTCTGACCCATACCATCCCTCAGTTGCACTCTTGGCACCACAGGAAGGTCAAGTTCAGTCTTCTGTGACCTAGACCCAGCCATTGCCCTGTCTCAGCCTCATCTCTCTAGGAGCTTCCTTTTTCACTTGGAAAACCCCAGATTCACAATCATCATAGGTGCCTCCTCTTGCTGGATATTAGTTTAAGATGTGTTACGCATGTTTATGCTGTGGAATATTAATTTAATGATGTAAAGATGTGTTTCATTCATTTATGTTGCATTTGTTTTACTCTGTAAAGCGGTGTTGCTAGTTTACTGTCTAAAACACCTGATTGGTCCAATACAGAGCTGAATGGCCAATAACTAGGCAGGAAAGAGATAGGCAGGTGATGGGAGATGTCATTCTGTAAATATGTTTCTCTTATTGGTTAATGAATAAAGCCCTGTTGGTCAATAGGAAAGCAAGATAGGCAGGACTAGGAGACAAGGAAGATTCTGGAAGATGTAGTAAGGAGATTCAAGATGTAGAGACTTGAGAGGAGACGACCAGACACTCTCTCTGGTAAGATAAGACCAGGTGGAAACACTTAGATTGATAGAAATGGGTTAATATTTAAGACAGAGCTAGCCAATAAGAAATGCTAGTAACAGGCCAACAGCATTATATCTAATACAGCAGCTCTGTGTGTTACTTGGTTCTGACACAGCTGTGGGACCAGGCTGGCCGAAGGGGGGGATGAGAGGGGTACGACGACACGACACGGAAACATGGATGGACTGCTTGTAACCGGCAGGGTTGTCAGGCAGAGAGAATAAATAGGAAGAGAAATGCCAGGGGCCAGCCACAGAGTAAGAAGGAAAGAAAGAATATAGAATAAAAAGAGGTAAAAAGCCCAGAGGCAAAATGTAGTTAAGAGAAACAGGATAATATAAGTTAGAAAAACTGGCTAGAAACAAGCTAAGCTAAGGCTGGGCATTCATAAGCAAGAATAAGTCTGTATTTATTTGGGTGCTGAGTGGTGGGCCCCAAAAGAGTTAAAAACAAACAACAACAAAAAACAAAACAAAACAGCTACAACCTCCTCCAGGAAGCCCTCCCTGAGTTCCCGCAAGGGCACCAGGGCCTCCTCAGTATTCCCTCCAGCTAGAGTTGGGGAGATCTGAGGTCAGAAGAACCCTTAAAGGCTGATCAAGAGCTGCACATCTCCAAGAGTGATCCAGTGTCCCATGGACACTAACAAGACATCTATTCTCAGGCCCCATGTGACAGAGGGAAGTAATTGAAAAGAGGGCTCTAGATGTTGAGAAGCACCAAGCTAGCCCAGGCCTGTGAAGCCCAGCTAGAGCTCTGAGTTGGCAAGGCCCCATTAAATCAGCTCTTTGCTGCACTAGGGTCTGGCCACCCCGCCGCCTTCAGGGGCCTTCTGCTAATGGGGTTGAAGCAGGAAAGAATTGCCTTCACCCCAGGTTCTTCTCCTGCTTCCTGCAGGTGCGCGGCCAATTTCAAACTGTTGTTTTCTTTTATTGGCAAAGAAGACGCTTGGGCACCTGTCTCATTTATTTCTCATCAGCTTCTCTTGGTTCCAATCCTGTCAAGCAGGAACCTGCTGGGTCGGAGAATCAAACTACTGCTTATCTGCAGGTTGTAAATTTAATGGGGCTCTTGCTAAGCACACCAAACATGAGCTGGAAAAATACAGCTTCTCCCTTCTCTTGCTCCCATCGTCTGTCCCTCAAAACGAGGTAGGCACCTCCACAGACCAGATGTTCTCTGTACCATCTTCACCTCTGGGGTGGGGGGCGGGGAGTCCGCTCTCCCTCCACTGCTGCTCTCCACTAACCTGTTACATTCTTGCTGCCCTTGGCTTCTAACTGGCCTCTGACACCAGCATTTGTCACCCCACTTTGTGACTCTGGAAACTAGCACAGACTAAGCACACAGTAGGCACTTAATGCATATGAGTTTAAAAACTGGGCGTGGGGGTGCCTGCTTGTAATCAAAGCACTCGGGAGAGTGAGGGAGGAGGGCCATGAGTTTGAGGTCAGACTGGCCAGGCCACCTTCAGCAGGGACATGGTTGTCTGTCTGTTGTA